ACAATATAGTCCTACTGGCGGAAAATAAAGATCAACTCAAAAGACAATCGAAAAAACTGATAGAAAATGCAAAATGTATAGGGCTAGAGATAAACACAGAAAAAACGGAGTATATGGTAGTCCAAAGAAAAGTTCCTTTAAATAATAATCAAAATAGTGGATTGGAAGTTGAAGATCATACGTTTAAAAGAACACAACAGTTCAAATATCTAGGCACCATATTAACACAACATAATGAGATAAATAGTGAAGTGAAGGCAAGAATTTAAGCCGGTAACAAGTGTTACTTTGGGCTGACGGGGTTACTGCGATCCAGAACACTTTCAACAAATTTAAAGATTCAGATATATCGGACATTAATAAAACCAGTAGTAACTTATGGGTCGGAAACATGGACGTTACGAAAGACAGATGAAAACTCGTTAGTTGTCTTTGAAAGGAAAGTACTTAGGAAAATATATGGTCCACTTACGTATAAACTTTTACTCGGCTTTTTTATTTTAGGCATACAATACTTTAAACAATGAGGGCTACGTTCACCTTACGGTGAATCACAGCCTGCATTTTAAAGATCCAGAAACTGGAGTCCACTCCAATACCATAGAAGGATCATGGAAACACGCTAAGGCGTCTTTGTCACAGTATTGTAGGAAAAAGGAGTTTTACGCGGGGTACTTAGCCAAGTATATGTTTTTAAAAAAATGCAAAAGTTTTAATTTAGATGCCACAATAGAATTTTTTAAACAAGCCGGTATATTGTATGTCATTGGTAGCGGCATAAACGATAACGAGTACGACGACAACGCAAGCGGCGGCGACGACGACGATAGAGATAACAACGATAGTGATAGCCACGACAGTAACGACGACGAAGCACCTGCATATTCGTTATTTTTATAACTTAAAATATAATATATTATGTTATAATATAGGTAATATTATTTGTATTTATTTATAACACTGCATAACCCAAATACCTCTTCCTAGTAACGGAAAGTTGATACAAACTTACCTATTTAATTAAACCGTAGAAAAACTCAAATTTCAAATTGCTATAACTCAAAAACTATTTATCTGCGCCGATTTTCGTTTTCACCACGCTTTTCAGCGTAAAAAAATACTTGAGTTAAAAAAAAAAAAATCTAAAATTTAAGGTGCCCGGTAAAGTAGAATTATGCCCACGATTGTGAATTATTTTATTATTCAGAAAAATGTAAAAATATTTTAAATAAACAAATATCTATCAATAGAAGCAAGTTAAGAATTAGAAAATCAGATATTTTTTTTTAAATTATATTTTAATAATAATTTTATAATATTATAATATGGATAATATTTCATAACAATTACAAAAACATAAGTAGATAATTACAGCAAAAATGAAAATAAATAGTTATAACAAATTTAGAATTTTAATAAGTTCTACAGTTCTTAATGGAACCATTGAATGTATAATACAATTTGTATATCTTTGTCAAATTGGTCTTGGGTAAATTTAACACGATGTACTCTACCAACTGCATTATCCGTTTTAGAATCATTGCTCTTAATCGTTTTTCTGATAAAGAATTTTTATATGAATCAATAACATGACTTAAAATTGGACGATGAAGATAATGATCTTTTTATTTCAACATTACGTGGCTCACATATTACGCATGTAGCAATTACTTTATTTTTGTCAATTTTAGATTTTATTTTAAAAAACTTACCATTTAAAATGGACATAGAATTTTTCATTTCAGACACTTCGGTATTATCCTCAGTTGACTTTTGTGTTGAAATGATTGAATCTTCATTATGCATAGGTACTCAAGGAATTCATATTGAAATAAATTGATATTTTAAAAATTAAACACGAGTGTCACACGTTTATACGCAAGTACTCGGCACTCGTGCATGGAAAAACTAACACGGCAATACGACACAAATAATCATAAGATTATCTTCAAAGTTTAGATGGTACTAAGTACATTTGACAAAGCCTCATTTTCTATGTTTAGATATCATATAATCAAACAGATAGATTTTATAGCTACAAGCCTATATCTATCTTATTATATTTTTGTGTAGAGCTCTATATTTGAACTTAAAAATATGAAATACAACATGCGTATTTTAGTACTTATATAGTATTGCAACTTGGTTGGGAAACTTTGTTACGGTATTAGTTACCCAGGGAAGGTTTTCTATTCTTTATGGATAAATTTTCCGTAGAAAGACACGTTTGGTTTGTATAGTTGGAGTAATTATTATATATTAAAAAGTACATAACTGATATAGAAGATGGCTTTTAATATGTGTAATTGGTGTCGGTGAGTTCGATCGTGTTGGTCGTGTTGGTCGTGTCTGTCGAACTGACAACTGACTAGTGACTACCTAGTACCTATTATAGAAAGGCCAGCGAAACTAGACGGGTGATTTTAGCGCCCCCAGTGGCGTTTTTTCAGTAAGGCCATCTACAGCCCTACCGAAAAAAAAGCCACCGGGGGCGCTAAAATCACCCATCTAGTTTCGCTGGCCTTACTATAATAATTGGTGCATGATAGAAATATTTATTTATTTATTTATTTCTATCATGACTTGGTGTGTGTTGGCGATCAGTGGCGCAACTAGCAGGTAAGTTGGCAAAGTGAAACTTTGCAGCCCCCGATTTATCGGTTCCCCCATCGCCCCATAATAAAAATTAATATTAATTTTTGTTTCAAACTTTTTAATTATTATTATTATCTATATTTTATTATAAACATCTACGTTATATATAGGAGTATAGCTTTAAATGAGAATATGAGATTACTATACTATAATTATACTGTTATTTTAATATTTATTGTTAATAGACACTCAGTGTCGCCCTGGCCATGGGCCGCCGGGCTACGAATGCAGCCGAAACACCCCCGTTTTTGTTTTATTGTAGAGTCTGATCAATATTTTTATTTGCGCGGTGGCGTGTTCTTGCAGGTCTTTATAAAGAGTATGAACTCTCATGTTTATCGAAGTATTTAACCACACGTAAATTGTTAGGTAAATGTTTCTTTACAGGGCCCAAGGTTCTTTCATTATGGGTCTCCTTAAAAAAACTGATCCATGTGACAGGCTGACACTGATTACACTACGGTCTGCGATTTATTGATTTAATAATATTATAAAATCATTACCAATTACCATGGTTAAATAACAAAAGAATAGTGTTCTTAAAATCCAAGTATCTAAATAATAATTTCTTCCTATAAATATAAAGTCATTTTCACAACTCTAATAATAAACTATTAACGAGCTATAGCCGATGTGTGGTGGAGCGGCCGAGTGAGGACATGGGACGGTTACTATTTATATTCTTATTAGGTACTTAGCATGTTTGGGACTATTCTATATTTATTATTTTCGTTATTCGTTCACTTTTCGGAAGTCACCATTGTTTAGTGAACTCGTAATTCATATATCTAATAAAGTTGACATAGTGACATAGACACATATTTATATAATTTAGTATTTTAATTCTGGAAAATAGTGAATACCTAGTTACTAGTTAGTCGTCGGCCGTTGCGGTTGTAACTATTGAATTAGGTAGTTAGATACCTATAATTTTCAACCAAGTGAATAGACAAATTATTGTAGAGTAGACGTATAAACATGTAGGGTGTAGATACAAAATAAAAATTGTTTTACATAACAATGATGTAGTCGAAACAATACCCGAGTGGCTCATCTAAAAAAAAATTGAAATTAAATATACAAGTACAAGTAAATAAGTATAGAGGTAGTCTATATGTTTAGGCTACGTTCCCACTCATAGGCGCAAATAGGGAATTGCATTGGCGGGGGCTCAAGCTCTTTAATATATTCAACAAAAATCCCTCCCCCCCCCTTTCACACGTCACACCAAATAAAAATATTACTATTTTTTTTTTTTTATTAGCTACGAGTATAAAATTATTACTTATTAATGCACATAATATTATATTTATTATTAACTAGATAATTGGTTACAATATTAAATTTATTCTTCTGTTGGATTTGGCAAAGTCATTTAAGACTGAGACGCTATCAATATTGATGTCTTTTTCAATATTAATTATCCCTTAACTGCTAAATCTTTCTTGGAGCATTTTTGATCGCATCCATGTTTTCAACCTCCTCATTGTGGAAAATGACCTTTCACAAGTAGCGGAATTGATTGGCAAAGTTATTGCTACATTAAATAATTTATAATTTGGAAAGATTTGTTTACTATTCAATGAGTTTAAGTGATTTTGCAGAACTTCCAAATCAACATTAACTTTCAAGACATTTTTGATAACCATCATTTCTGATCTTAAAGAATCTTTGGAAACACCGAATAAATCCTAAAAGTTATTATTTACAAATTAATTTTCAAAAGTATACGGTAAATAAAAGGGTGTCCCGTCAAATTATCGCGACAATATTGTCGCGGTAATAATATCGCGGAAATAACGTCGCGGTTCATTTCATAGCAAACCAATAATCTCGCGCGTCATTATTATCGCAGAATTTATTATTTAGAAGATAACAATAATTTGTTTGTTTCGTATACGAACGCCCTCACACGACAGTATTCGTTTGGTAATATAACACAGCACACAGCCAGCACCATGGAGTATATTACCAACCAAAAAGGTGGAAAAATACTAAAATATAAATCTTTTTTGTACCAAAAAGAACGCGAAAGTGAAACAACAGGTAAAATCATTTGGAGGTGTTTGGAATATACCACAAAAAAAATGCCGTGGACGTTTACATTCATTAGGTGAAGTTGTTGTTCATACAACCGATCATAATAATCACGTTCCCGACATGGGCAAAATTGAAGCAAAAAGGCCATCCAAAAATTAAAAGAAACTGCAAAAAATACGCAACTAACAACTCACTGTGTTGTGGGAACTATAACATCTGAAGTAAATTTTATTACACATTTTTATAATCATAATTTTATATTTTTATTTTATTAGACAATAATTTACATAATATTATAGATTACACAAAGCGCAGCGGGACAACTACCGAGTTTAAATCAATTAAAGCTTACCGTTCAACGAATTCGAAAAATCGAAATATGTGCTCCGCCTATTCCAAAATCACTAAATGATCTTAAAATACCAGACGAGTACAGGAAAACAACAAGTGGTGAGACTTTTTTACAGTATGATAGTGTTAATTATGACGGTTACCATGATAGGTTTTTAATTTTTACAACTCAAACAAATTTAAAGTTAATGCAAATATGTGAACATTGGTTAGCGGATGGCACTTTTTCATGTTCACCTCATATTTTTCATCAACTTTACACGATACACGGAGTTAGTTATTCAAATGTCGTACCAACTGCATATATATTACTACCAAATAAGAAAGAAGAGACTTATAAACGTATGTTCCTTGCATTAAAAACCTTGAATCCACAACTCAGTCCAAAATCTATTATGTTCGATTTCGAAAAAGGTGCAATGAATGCTGCAAAATGTGTATTTCCTTCAGTCGATATAAAGGGCTGTTTTTTTCATTTATGTCAAAGTATTTGGCGACATATTCAGTCCAGCGGATTACAATCCAAATATTCAAACGATTCCGATTTTGCTCTTAATTTGAGAAAACTAGCTGCACTTGCTTATATTCCAGAAAATGATGTAGTGTCCGCCTTTGAAACTTTAGTCGAATCTCAATTTTACCAACAAGAAATGTTATCAAATTTAATTGATTATTTTGAAGATACATGGATCGGTAGACTTAATCGTAGAACTAGAAGAGCCCCTTTGTTTTCAATTAAAATTTGGAATTGTTATTCAATGTTAGACGATAATATTCCACGAACAAACAATTCGGTCGAAAGTTGGCATAATTCTTTTAATTCTATGCTAAGTGCGCACCATCCATCAATTTGGACATTCATAACTGCATTAAAAAAAGAAGAAAGTGTAAATCGTTTTAAAATTGAACAATATACTGCAGTCTTTGAATCACCAAAGAAAAAAAAATATAAAGATTCCACAATAAAACTAAAAAAAATATGTGATGACTATAAAAATAGATCAGTGGACGATTACTTACGTGGTATATCACACCATTTCCAATACCAACAAATATAAATTAAATTTAAATTATATACATGACTTAACTTATAAATTATTAATTATATATGACTGTACTTGTTATTTTGTATTAAAATATTTTTTTACTTAAATTGTCATGAAAATAAAACGCTATGAATTATAAAATTATCAACTATATATGACTGTACTTGTTATTTTGTATTATAATATTTTTTTTACTTAAATTGTCATGAAAACAAAACGCTATGAATTATAAAATTATTAACTATATATGACTGTACTTATAATTTTGTATTATAATATATATTGCGATATTTTTGTATCAACGACATATTTACTTTGCTATTTTTTTACTGCGATAATATTGCCACGATATTTTTACTGCGACAATATTGCCGCGATATTTTGACGTGTATCCAAATAAAAGGTAGATTAAAAAATTCAATAACATTGTTAAGCACAATTTATTAATATAAATACATTATAATTTAATATTAGATTTAGTGTATATAAAAATAAATACTTCTATGACCGACTGTTTTCGAAATATCTTGCGATATTTATGTTCTCAATGTTTCATAAATCAATTAATTAAAAGAGGAGACAGATCAGTGTTTGTTATAATTTCAAAGGATATATTTTAAGAATTAAAAGGGATTTATTGTTCACATTACTATTGTATGTTACTGTCTGCTATTATATTATGTTTTTGTTTGTTTGTTTTAGGTATATTATGTCAATGTTCTGTGTTATGTGAATATTTCAAATATGCATTGCGGATGTGTCTCCAAATATTTATGTTTATTGAAAGGTTCCATACTTTCAATGGGGGGGGAGGATGTTTAGGCTACGATCACACTGCCAGTTAACGTTGGCGGCATTGTAAAGACTCGGTTGTGATAACACATTTTTCTTCATCAATCTTTACTGTTGATACCTTTTCTCAATTGATTTTTCATGTTCGTGATTTTCTTATGGGGCTCGGCAGTGGGAAGTCACGTGTTTTCTTCATTTTTTGGTATTTATTGTTCGGTTTAAATTGTCATGTTCCCTTCTTAATTTATCATTTTTTAGTTTTAGGGTGATCATTTTGTTGTATCAATTGTGTATGGTTATTGATTGTATTGTGAGTTGGTGTTGTTTGTATCTGTCATCAACCAGTTAACATAGGTAAGAGTTGCCGAGCTCAGTGTTATTTATTAAATTATTGTACAGGCCGTGCGCTTAACCATCTAAGGTTACATTTTAATTGTTAGTTATAAATTGTATCTGCTTTTTGGCAATCATGAATTATTGTTTACTTTACATAGCTGTGATTGTTATATTTAAATTATATTATGCATTAATTACAATAATACATTTATACAGTCCACTTCATGCATTATTTATTTATTTATTTATTTATATTAAAGGTACCGTTGTCCATACCAGGCAGTTGTTGAAAATCTCGAGCTCAAGTCAAATGAACTGTGAATGGAGGAGCGAACAGCCTTTAGAGAAATGTACTATGATGTTAAATCATCATTATTATACATTTTAGAATCTGAGGAATTGAAAAAATCAGACTTCATCAGTCCATCGTACAGTAGCTTATCTACACATGTAAATTCAAGCAATATAAAACTGCCACCTATCGCTACTCCAAAATTTAGTGGGGATTGGCAACAATGGACGTCATTCATTGATTCGTTTAATGCAATGTTCCACAACAATCAAAGTTTAGCTCCAGTTCAACGTTTTCATTATCTCAAGTCTTGTTTAGAAGGGCAGGCCAGTGATGTTGTCATACCGACAACAAACGAAAATTATCAACAGGCCTATGATGCGTTAACATCACGTTATGAAAATAAAGGTGCAATAATACAATCTCACATAAGGGCTCTATTTGATACTCCAAATCTTTCAATAGCATCAGCAACTGAGTTGCAAGCACTCCACCATCACATTACATCTAACATTAATGCATTGCAGGCATTAGGACAACCAATTGAAAGCTGGGATGCTTGGCTGGTGACTTTAATTTGCAATCGCATGGATAGTGCAACTGTAGGAGAATGGCATCTTCAATACAAAAAGAAGGATCTACCTGAGTACGAAGAAATAAAAACATTTTTATTTAATCGGATTGCTGCTTATGAGGCAGGAGAGGTCAATAATGGTGTTACAAGCATAAAAAAGTCTATGGTCAAGTCCAGTTTTAAGTTGCAAGAAAAAAAGGTATTTTTCACTAAACCATCAGATAAATCGACTATGTTACATAAGTGTCCTTTCTGCAGTGAAACCTATAAATTGTATTTGTGTAAAGGATTTAATGAGTTGACATTTGTAGATCGGCGTGAATTTGTGTTAAAAAATCGATTATGCTTCAATTGTCTTTATGTCAATCATCAAGAACGTGCTTGCAGATTCCCATGTTGTCCAAAATGTGGTCAACGCCATAACTCAAAATTGCACTTAGACCAAAGTTTTGAAAATGATAACAAATCCACTAGTGAGGTTGAGCCTATTGCAAACACAAGCAGTGCTCTGTGTGCCACTAAAGGTATAGCACAAGCAATGCATGTATCAGGAGACATGATTATGTTGGCTACAGCCATTGTGTACATTAAGGACGAAGTCGGAAATCTTCAGCCCAGTAGAGCCTTATTGGACTCTAGGTTGTAAGTCAACTTTATCACTGATGCTTGTGCTCAATATCTTGGTCTTTCAAAATCAATTTCTTATTTGCCGATAGTTAGTATTAATTCCATGAAGACAAGTGTACAAAGACTGTTGATCATGTATTCTCGGTTTGAACATTACAGCGTCTCATTGGAACTGCATGTGCTTTCGTCTATTTCCAATGATATGCCATCTCGATTTATACGATTAGATCAGTCTAAGATCCCATATTCGATAAATGAACAACTAGCCGATCCAAGTTACAATACACCAGGAAGGATAGATGTACTACTTGGAGCAGAAACATTCTACACACTTTTTAGTGGAGAAAGAGTAAGGGTTTCAGAAAGTCTAATGTTCCACAAAACGAAACTTGGATGGATTCTCACTGGAAAGGTACTGAATAATGACGTTAAGCATTGTAAGTTAGTCACTTGTAATTGTACCCATGACACATCTAATAGTTCAGCTCTCTCATTATTTGCATGCAAATCAAGTACTCGTAAAATTGAAGAAGATGAAGCTGAACAACATTTCAAAAGCACACACTTCAGGAATGATTCCGGGTGATTTGTTGTCAGACTTCCATTGAACAATCAATTTAAGGCTCTTGGTGAGTCTAGCTACATGGGTCAACAACGTTTCTACAATCTAGAAAAACGTTTAACCAAAGACCAAGAACTTAGTATTGCTTACCACAAATTCATGTCAGAGTACTTGGATATGAAACATATGGAACTAGTGAACAATAGTAATGCTGACAAACAAACATATTATCTACCTCACCATGCTTTCACCAAGGAAAACAGTATCACCACTAAAGTAAGGGTTGTTTTTGATGGATCAGCTCCAACCAGTTCAAGGTTATCGCTTAACGATATTTTGCTAAGAGGACCTACAGTACAGTCTTCCTTATGTTCTATACTGTTAAGATTTAGACTACATAAAATAGCTTTAACTGCTGATGTCGAAAAGATGTATCGTCAAATATTAGTAGATCCAGAGGACTGTGAGCTACAAAGAATTTGGTATCGTTCAAGTGTCGCTGAATCTTTAAAGGCTCACAAGCTTCGTACGGTCACCTATGGAACGAAATTAGCTCCATATTTGTCAACACGTTGTTTGGTTGAAGTGGCTTCTACAGCTCCAAATAAAAATGCCCAAAGAGCTATAAAGGATGATTTCTATGTTGATGATTTACTCACTGGTGCGGAGACAGCAGAAGAATGTTTTCAGTTGTTTAAAGATGTTTCAGACACGTTGAATAGTGGCTGTATGCCATTGAGAAAGTGGCGTACAAGTTCATCAGAAATCCTCAATAAATTCCCAAATATTGATAGTGATCCCAATCATGTATTACAACTTGGTGAAAACGATGCAATTAGTATGTTAGGAATAATGTGGCAACCCACCACAGATTGTTTTCGTTTTACATTGAAGCCATGGACTCCACCAAATAATATGACAAAACGCACATTGTTATCTGATATCAATAGAGTTTATGATCCACTTGGCTTCATCACACCAATCTTAATTTCTGGAAAAATATTTGTTCAACAATTATGGATGTTAAAGATTGATTGAGATACTAAATTGTCTGAAGACATGCGTCAACGCTGGGAATCATTTTATTTGTCATTAAACGCATTAGATAAGTTAGTCGTTCCTCGTCTAGTGTTATCAAGCAACTGGTCATCAATCCAACTCCACGGGTTCTGTGACGCTTCACAAGAGGCATACGGTGCGTGTGTATACATAGTAACTCGGTGTTAAAGCAGTGAACTTCAAACATCACTGTATGTGTCAAAGTCGAGAGTAGCTCCGCTTCATCCAACTACCATACCGCGTCTAGAACTCTGTGGTGCTGTATTATTAAGTGAATTAATCACAGAAGTCAGTTCTGAGTTCGAGAAACTGAACATAAATGTAAATAAAAACGATATTGTGCTATGGTCAGACTCGTCTATTGTAATTGCCTGGATTAATAGTACTCAACCACTCAAATCTTATGTTTCTAACCGAGTCGCACAAATTCTAGACAACACCGACAAGTCACAGTGCATCATGTGCCTCCAGAAAGTAACCCGACTGATGTTATAATACGTGGACAAACAGTTTATAATTTATTAAAATGTACAATGTGGTGGAATGGACCCAAGTGGCTCTCTGAAAGTCGTACTTCATGGCTTCATGTAACCCATCAATTTTAAGTGAACTACCTGAAGTAAGACCAATCAAATTGGCACTTCAGATATCAAAGCAAATTGTAAATGAGTATCCACTCAATACATTTTCAAAGTGGAACCATATGGTACGTGTCACCGCTTACATGTTACGTTTTGTATACAACTCCAACAAACATAAAGATCAAATATCTGACCGTCAACAGGTTTGCTCACTGTCAATGAGTTGCAAGGTGCCAAGAATCTATGGTTTCGCTATACTCAATTTATGGCATTTAAGGCTGAATTAAACCTATTGTTAAATTCTAAATCAGTGAGCTCCAATAGTCGACTAAAATTGCTTAACCCATTTATTGATGCTTATGGTCTTATGCGCGTGGGTGGTAGATTAAGTTACCTCGATGCTTCAGATGAGCGACGATGTCCTATTGTACTCCCGTCTAAGGGTAAAATTGTAAAAATGATTTTTGAACAAATGCATTTAGGACTATTACACATTGGACCTCAAGGTCTACTTGCAAACATACAATTGAAATATTGGCCTTTACGTGGGCGAAGTTTAGCTCGTGCAACCTATCATCGGTGCAATATCTGTTTTCGCGTTAAGCCAAATATGCTGCATCCACAAATGGCACCTATACTTCGAAGCAGAATATCAATTCAAAGGGCCTTTTCCCGTACTGGTGTTGACTTCTGCGAACCCATCCTGATCAAAAGTGGAATAAGAAGAGTCAAGGCTATCAAAAGACAATGGAACAAACTTTGTTGGTGCAAATCGAGAACTATCATTATACTTTAAGGCTGGATGTGGAAAGCGTACAATCACAGAAAACTTGGCACACCAGGGAATCAAATGGCATTTCAACCCTCCAGCAGCGCCTCACTTTGGTGGCATATGGGATGCCGCAGTTAAATCGACAAAAACCCATTTAGTAAAAATGACAAATAATATCTTATTAACATTTGAAAATCTGCTCTGCCGCATTGAAGCCATTTTAAACTCAAGACCGTTGACACCTCTAGCAGACGATCCTTCAGATTTTGAAGCTCTAACGCCTGGACATTTTCTAGTAGGTGGTCCCATACTCTTACCACCTGAACTAGATTCTACTTCTATACCTCAGAATAGATTGCGTCGATATGCCTTAGTCAGATCCCAAATGCAATGGTTCTGGAAAAGATGGAGCAAGGAATATCTGCCACAAATTCAAAAACGAAACAAATGGTTGAAACCTCAAAGAAACTTAATTGTGGGTGATTTGGTTATTGTCAAAGAGGATAACATACCACCACTCAAATGGAAACTTGCCCGTGTGCTGACGGTTCATCCTGGTAATGACAATGTGGTTCGTGTCGTTACAATTCGTATGGGAAACGGAAGTGAATACCAACGTCCAGTTGTACGATTTGCTCTTCTACCAACAGTTGCAGAAGAGGAGACAGATCAGTGTTTGTTATAATTTCAAAGGATATATTTTAAGAATTAAAAGGGATTTATTGTTCACATTACTATTGTATGTTACTGTCTGCTATTATATTATGTTTTTGTTTGTTTGTTTTAGGTATATTATGTCAATGTTCTGTGTTATGTGAATATTTCAAATATGCATTGCGGATGTGTCTCCAAATATTTATGTTTATTGAAAGGTTCCATACTTTCAATGGGGGGGGAGGATGTTTAGGCTACGATCACACTGCCAGTTAACGTTGGCGGCATTGTAAAGACTCGGTTGTGATAACACATTTTTCTTCATCAATCTTTACTGTTGATACCTTTTCTCAATTGATTTTTCATGTTCGTGATTTTCTTATGGGGCTCGGCAGTGGGAAGTCACGTGTTTTCTTCATTTTTTGGTATTTATTGTTCGGTTTAAATTGTCATGTTCCCTTCTTAATTTATCATTTTTTAGTTTTAGGGTGATCATTTTGTTGTATCAATTGTGTATGGTTATTGATTGTATTGTGAGTTGGTGTTGTTTGTATCTGTCATCAACCAGTTAACATAGGTAAGAGTTGCCGAGCTCAGTGTTATTTATTAAATTATTGTACAGGCCGTGCGCTTAACCATCTAAGGTTACATTTTAATTGTTAGTTATAAATTGTATCTGCTTTTTGGCAATCATGAATTATTGTTTACTTTACATAGCTGTGATTGTTATATTTAAATTATATTATGCATTAATTACAATAATACATTTATACAGTCCACTTCATGCATTATTTATTTATTTATATTAAAGGTACCATTGTTCATATATGACAGTGGCCTAGATGATATTCACTATATATATATATATATATATTGTTTTGTATACATATTTTCAAAAATATGATAATATTTGTATACATTAAATGTCTTCTGCTTACTAGGAGGTACTTATATCTTAATTAATTTATAAAATATTATAAATATATAATATATAATGCTAAAATAATTAATAACTAAATTATATGCCACCTAACTAATTAATTGTTTTTTTATTTGATAAAACTTCAAAATGTTATAATTAATTAGGTAATTTTGTATGCGATATTGTTTATATTTATAAAAATAAAGAATAATTAGAAATTAGTCGAGGTGACTAAAGAATCCAAGTCCTTTTTATAAACATCAAAACTTGTATTTTTAATATATTGTATAAGTATTGAACTGTTGGCAAGGATGATAGGTATATAAAAAAATAAACTGTACTTCAGTGTATATTTTATATTGGCACATCTGAAATCTGAATTGTATTAGATTATATTATGTGCTATATATTTACTATCAAGAGTAGATATTCTCTTCTATTGTTTTTTCTCAATATTTTGTAGGGCATTTTGAAGATGATTTTTTACAAAAATCTCCAGAAATATTAATTAATATTGATTCTATTTTATAAATGTATAATATTAAAAAAAAAAAAAAATAGTTTACAAAAATTATTTTTAATTTTATGAAATTACTAGCTCAACCTTGCACTTTGTTGCTGCCCATTAAAAATGATTTAACAGGTAACGCCACTACTGTACCAGATTATCTACTTTCTGGTGAATTTTCATAAAATTGTCCTTCATTCTTATTAATATTAATTAATTACGAACACAACAAAAAAAAAAATCAGCCAAATCGGTTATGCATGACTTTAGGGCCCCCGAGTGTCTAGTGGCGCCACTGTTGGCGATAGGCCTTACAGTTATGTGTGTTGACAATGTTGGTTTTTTAATTAATATATAGGTGTCATGCAACAAACTTATCGTATTGTTACAGTATGATATGTTATATACGACAGTAGCTACATCTATAAAAATGATTTGATTATCAACTATGTTAAATCAAATAAAATAACCAAAAATTATTCGAATAACTTTTTATTCGAACAATCATAAAAATATCATTCAAATGTATATTTATTCGAATAATTATCTAGATAAAATTTTGCCCAACACTGTTAAATGCCATGGAGCTGAGGCTATAAGTCAGAGAAAGATTGATTGGTAGGCTTGAGTTGATTCGAGCTCGGATTTGGGAAGGTTTGGCGCAGCCCCAAATTTGCATGCCATTAGCCCAGATTGGCCTTAAGAGTGATTTGTATAAAACTGATTTTGTGCGAATTGACAGTTTTGATTTGAGCATAGGTCGAAGTAAAATCTGATACCTACACTTTTGTTTGTGTGCCATGTGCATAGTGTAGGTATACACCAAACCCACACTTTTTTTAAAACAATCAGTGTATAACTGTGTAAGCTAACACTTTCCAAGATAAACACTTCAGTAAACGCATAACAAAATATAATAATATCTGTCATGAGTGTACACTTTTTTTTTTTTTAAATTCATTTATTATAATAAATTATACATAGCTCAAAAAGAGCAAATTTACAATAATATAATAATAAGATGAATCTATCTACCACCTGTAAGCAAGCTTGTGATGATGGTAGATAGTTACAAAATCTAGTAATTAATACAATAATTGATAAAAATATAAATAAATAAACAAACAAATACATGAATTATAATATACATAAACGATAAACACTAGTCTAAATGAGTTTCTAACCAGTTGAAAATTAATTTTTTGAGATTCGACTTTTTAAGAT